TTGAGTCATGTTTCGCTTGTGTAGGCTGAGTATGACTTGATTTTCTTTTGCACTTTTGCAAAACACTGAGACACTAGGATCAGCGTCAGCAAGTTGCGCTCGAGCCTTTCGACACGCGATTTCAATCCTGCGAATCCACAAGCATCCGCCTAGAAAAGTGTTATGTGAGCCTGCGAAATTCCACGTAGTAGCTGGCAATCCACCTACTTGCACTGCCCACAGCTCAAATGAGCTAGTGTGCCAGGAAGGTCGGAAACTTTGCTTCAGGCACTCGCCATCCTACCATCAAAGCAGAGGAACACTTGAAAATCTTGAGCTTGCCAGCGATGTAAACACAGACGGTTAGCAAGGACATGGTCATGAATCAGCTTGCTCATCGCAGCAGCTAGCTAGTAGTGTTGACCTTGAGATGTGCGTTGGATATGCCACCCGTGTTCGTTTTGCATGGTTTGCTGTCGTACCCCAAGTTCAATTCATTGCCTTTACCAGATCGCAACTCGTGAGTCGCAAAGCTCAGACAAGGTTTTGATGCCAGTGGAGACAGCCAGCAATGCATCGCACCCAGCCATTGCCCCGCATGTTGGTGACTGTTCGTGCACCGGACCTAAGAAATGCTCTGCGTTCGTGCCAACTTGGAGTTTGAGTAAGAGAGCGGCAATTTTTTGAAGGCTTTTGGAAGACCTGCTTGCTGAGGGTGGCTCTGGCATCGGTGCCACAATGCCGCTCTTGGGTCGCACATTGAGTTCTCTTGTAGTCACACCCACCCAAAACACCCACCCAAACTACAGGACACACAGGAACCGATGTCGAATTCGAATAGTAATGGACAATCACGAAAGCTAGCCCGTAGGAGCTGGCCGAGTTTCTTACCAACCGCTAGGTTGAACAACAGGGGTGTGGGGTAAACTCCACCGGGATTGGGTGGCCAAGCCCTACCTTTTTGAGGTCCCGAACGGACCTTGCCGGCTCGAAAATTGATGCTCAGCCTCAGGGGGCGCTTGGGCTAAGCGCACCCGAAGGCTCAGGGTCCAACAGCTGCTGTGTAATATTTCTTCAAGACAGCGTCGAAACGACGTTACTACATCTCCATGCACGGACAGTCTGGGGTCGGGCACTCCAGGCTGGGCACTCCGGGGATTCTCTGGTGATGCTCTTCACTCTGGGGTTGGGCACTGCAGGGTTTTGTGGGATGATAACCCCAGACAGTCCCGGCAGTTTCCGGGCATACTCTGGGTTGGGCACTCCAAAAACTCTTTGGGGATACTTTGGGGTTGGGCATTCCAGAATGCTCTGATATTGCACTCGGGGCTGGGCACTCCAGGGTTCTGTGGGGGAGTCTGGGCCCTGGGATTCTCGGGGGTTGGGCACTCCAGGCATTCTCTGGGGATGGTCTTGGGGCTGGGCACTCGACGGATTTTTTGCTCCAGGGTTCTTTGGGGGATGCTCTGGCCAGGGATTCTTGCTCTGGGGTGGGATACGGCTGATGGACGAGGAGTAGACAGGTCGTGCACTGGGTAGTCAACGGCAGGTCTCACACTTGCCTGTTTGGTCAATGCCGTTCTCCTCAGTGGCTAATCCAGCAACTGCACTAGCTTTCGTTCCTGCAGTCCCCCACAAGCTAGGAGAATAGACAGATACAGATACCTTCCTTGTAAAGAATAGAGGAATGGAGGTCGTCGTATTGAAGTGCTCGAGTATAGCAGAACTACAGCCTTCGTATTGTGAAAACCAGCTTCAGCACAAATCTGGCTTTGCAAAGCGTTGGTCTCCAGATGTATGTGCTTGAATCCACCAGTCTTGCCATGTGCAATCACAGCAAAGATGATGAAGGATGGCTTGCTGCACCGTGTTGGTCTCCACCGTTCCCGAGGTCAGCTTCTCCTTGGACTGGATCCGGCAGCAGCCTGCAGGCCCTTCGTTCCGTCACGCATTCTAGTTGATTGAGACAGTGGAGAGTGAGGACCCAGTCACTGAGGGTTCAAGGCCCAGCTGCTTTCAAATCAGATGCAAGGCCGAGAGATGTTCCATGGTTCGAGGATTTTTGCACCCTGGGTTTTAGCATCTTTGCAAAAAGGTCCAGCTGCACCCGTCGGCTCCAGCCATGTTGCACTCCAAGCAAAGTTGTCTGGAGTTCAGCGCGCACCTCGCATCATGCACCAGCAAATGGCAGAGAACAGCAACAACCACCACTGCCACCACCGCGATCACCGCCGTAACCACAACAGCAACAACAGCGACAGCACAACACCCACAATCACAAGCATAAGCAAGAAGAACCTCCAGCAACCCCACTTGCACTGAAAACCTTGAATTTCGATTTTGTCCTCTCAGGGTTTCGCCAACCCGCGTGTTGGAAACCTTCGGGGGAGACTCCTAACTTTTCTTGTCGCCTGTGATGTTGACTGCTAGCGTCTGCCATGTAGTCTGCTCTGTCGCTTGAGAGGATTTGGATCTGTCGCTTGCTGGGGCCGGCGAGTTTCCAGGCGCAGCAGATTAATAATCTTCTAAAGACTGGAATTCAGATTCCTCTTTGAGAGTCTAATGGGATGGGGCCATGTTGAAGAGAAGGAGCCCATACACGTATAGGCCAAGATTGTTTTTGCGAGGCATCTTGTATGTGCTCTCTTTGTCGGGTAGATGGGAAAAGTGTTATTTTCAGGTACCCAAACCTGACCAGTTTTATCGTGCGAGCCACGTAAAACTTTTCAACTTTTCATGAGGAGCAATAAGGTTCAAAACAGTGGGTTCACAGGTTCATGGTTCACTTCCCCAAATGTCATTGACATGGCCAAGCTATTGGGGGCAAGGCTGGGGTTGGCCCCTGCTTTGTAGTTCCGAAGGGAGCGATTGCTGGAAACACTCAATGGGATGTAGCGCGCGGTTGGGAAGATCCTTTTTTTGGGTCACGGTCACGGCGGTATTCGCATCGTTGTCACGGTATTTTGCATCGTTGTCACATTTGATAGCATCCCCTCAATTGCACCGTGGATTTCTGATTGCTAAACGCTGAAGGCTTCAGGTGGGCTACCCACGTGAAAACTTGACAGCCTTGCAGTTTTGCAGTCTTTTGAAAGTGCATCCTTGGTTGCTGGGTCAGGACAACTTCAAAAACTCATAGGCCAGGGCCTTCATGAACTTCAAAGGCCTGATGTCTAGAAGGTTTGAGGCTTTACCGCATGGGCTACCTGCCCCCCTGAAAGCTTGACTGCCCGGCTGCTTTATACGTTTTTTAAAAAGGAATCCTTGGGTTCTGGGCATGGACAGATTAACGTTTCAGAGGCCGACGCCCTAGGCATCCCTAGGCCTTTGCGAAGTCCTGAAGCTTGGAAACAGAATTGGCCTTGATCAACCTGAATCAAACTCTTCCAAGGTGCTTCCTGCCATTCAACCCGTTAATCATGCAGTGCAGCCATCGTTTCGCACCCTTGCGGGATACGTTTAATTCCGATGTTTACATGACGGTCATGACTTCTATCGAGGTCCCAAGGTGGTTTTTTTGCCCGCCGCAACCCATGTTCACTGGAAGGGCGAGATGCGAAGATTTCGCCGATGTCTTCGAAGACCGCGCCCGGCGTCGGCATCAAACGAAACTCCGCCGCTAAGGGGGGGACGTGCAAGAGTTGAATTTCAAAGGCTTGAGATGGACCGTCACTCTGCCCGAATGACAGTGCATTATGCAGCAAGCTTGCTGTTTCTGAAGATGGGTCACTGGGTTTTTGTTTTGTGTGGTGAAAATGCTTGACTTTGCTGCAGCTGTTGGAAGGCTGCGGGGTGGCCTTGGCAGGCAAGTTGCTAAGTTCTAGTCGTTTGCTTGAGAGAATTCCGAAAAGCCGATGAGAATAAGCATTGGCCCGGCACCCAACGGACTCAACTCCTTTGGAAGCTCTAAACAGGATGGTGCCTCGCCGCCTGCTTCTCAACTAGGCCCTGTAAATCTTGTGCCTCCAACCATCTCCCACGACATGTTTATAAAGATATATGACCTTAACAAGAAACTTGACGGCCCATGCGGGCTGCCTCCAGACCCCTGTCCTAGTATTCACAAATCTTTTCGCAAGGAGTGGGGAAAGTCGAGCCCAAGGAGGCACGCCTGAAGAAGTGCCAGCAAAAGCTGCAGTCTTCCGAATTTGTGGGTTTCAAGGCTGCGGAAGCACGTTTCGGGCTTGAATGTATCAGCCCATCAGGACCAAGCAGGACTCGAATGCGCTAGAGGTGCTGAAAAATGCACACAGTTCCTCCCCGAAAGGTTGCTCCTGCTGGCCCAGATCCCCAGGGTCGGACAACAGCATCGTGGCAGCAGTGCATGCTGCATGTTCGGAGGACGGTTTTGAAATTCGGAAGTGAATGTAAAGTTTGTCGCAGTTTGGGATTCCAAGGCTTGATGATTATGAGTATTATGTTTCCTGCAGAGAACTACTTCGCGGCTTCAACCAGCGTTGTACCAGGCGCCAGTTCTATGCGAGGTTCACAACAATGCTCTCGAGCTTTGGGAGTTCGAGGTGCTTGTGAGACCCAAGCCCCCTGCACCAAGTTTCCGAGCTGATGTCTGCAGGGCAGGGGCACAGCAGTTCGAAGCATCCTGCTTGGACGCTTGTTTTTGCTTGATGGTACAGGGCCGTTACAGATTACAAACCGCTTCCAACAGTCAAACAAACACCAGCATTCGTAGCCCTAAGAGCCATGATGTTTTCCTTGACCTTCTGCACACACTACCCGTGCATCAAGGTAATGCTGAGAAATCTGCCGAACAACTACACGAGGGAGTCCTGACTGCATGTGCGTCCAGGATGTAAGCCACAACCATGACGATTGACTTCGATAAGCCTGCAGTGCGCTTCAGCATGTATGTTGCTCAAAGCCGTCGGTGTAGTTGGAGCCGCGTCGACTCTTGAGTACTCTGCTGCTGCACTTTTGACGTTTGGCGTTACAAGCTTGATTTTCTCAGCAGACAATGGCAATGTTTTCCGGCAAAGATCATTTTGTCTTGGCGCGTAGGAAGCATGAACTTCTTGACACAGGACATGCTCTTGGACCTGATTGACAGCATGGGCTTCCGTGGACAATATGTGATTTGGATGCACAGGAAGGCGAGCAAAGTGGCAGAATTCTTTTCAATACAGCGGTTACTTGTGGTGGCTGTCTTGCTCTTTGTTCCCCAGCCCTGCAAGACCTCGAACATTGAAGCCTGTTTTTTTCCAAGGATTTCTTGTACCTCCCCATTGATTTCCAGACCCATGCGTGCCTGGGCTATGCGTTCGTCAACTTGGTGGATCCAGGCTCGAGGGCTTGTTCTGGGACAGTGCCAGGGATGTCATCCGGATGATTTCTACGTGTGGCCCCACAATGAGTGGAGGAGCCTGTTTGTGCTCATCTCCTCTTGTAGAGAATGGAAGAAGGAAGAAGCGGAGTTACCAAGGCAAGGTGCATTGTCTTTCTGAACTCAAGGGAATAAGGATGGTCAACCGGTCAACCCAGAGCTGAGCCTTAACCCACTCACATGATAGCATGACCATCTTTCCTGGGATTGGCAGGAACAGTATGGCGAGCTGTGCAGAGCCATGCCCGTTCCAGACTTTGCTGTGCAAAGTCAAGGCTTCTGGCTGTCCTTAGGTCCTTGGCCTACTTTCGCATCCCGCTGGCTCGCACTGCCTACAGAGGATCTCCAAATCGTCACTCCGTTTCTCACACAAACAGAGGACGGCTCCTTGCCCTTTGCTGTGGTGCATACAAAGCTGTGTGGTTCTTTGACCATCTTTGACCCTCGACGTCGCGGACCTGAATCCTGGGCATGTTTTCTGCTCCATCATCCAGGGCTGATCTGCCCGCTCATGGGACCTCCCCATGGACTTCAGGGTAGCAAAGCTGCGTCAGCCGCTGTTTTTACAGTTTCATGGAGCTTGTTGTCGCCGACCTCGTTGATTGTTTCCAAGCTTCATTCGATCTCAGTCAGCCTTGTCCAAGCTTCTTCGATCTTTCACTTCGAAAGACCCAGTGTTGGAGCCAGCAGCGACTTTCAGCATCCCCCAAAGAAGTATCGCTGTCGCGTTCGAAAGCAGCCGCAATTGGTCTCTTTGTCGCCATCAGGCCACCATCCCACTTCAGCATCCAGAGGTCGCTGAGTGCCAGCAGCATGTCGTATAGCACAAACAGAGGCTGTCTGTGGCCCTTGATAGTTGGTTACGGCGCTCTAACTTCACTACTGCTAAATCAGCATTCCGTTGAAGGTGCCACGTTGTATCTCGCCGCTCCATGACGGCTACAGGGGAAGGGACTGCGCAGCTTAGAGCCAAAAGAGTAGCTGCCTTTTGCTATGTGCGCTGGAGGTCCAGGCTCTGCTACGGGATAGAATCACATTGGTAGCGCCGTCTGGCAGCGCCGTGCCAGAGGCAGCGATCATGTACTTCGATGACGACCTCTTGGACTTTGACCTTCATGAGGGCGCAGAGGGCATGAGCGCTGGCGCTGCACCTGGCGACTTTGGAGACGGCGATGCCGGCTCAGGCGCAGGTGCGAACTCCTTGTCTACGCTGCAGACGCTGAGTGCCTCTTCGAGAAGAAAGCGTGGCTCTCGTGGTGGTGTGCAGGCGCGGCAGTGTTCTGCTCGCGACAACTCTTCTACGGGAAAGCCGGCAGCGAGCAAGAGATGGCGATCTGGTGCAATTCCTGCACCCCCGGCGTTTGACGGTGACATCGAGAGTGACCCCTTTTGCTTTCGACACTACAGGCGTCGTTTGAGCCGCTGGGTGGAAATCACTCGTGAATACTTGCCAGCAAACGAACAAGCCCTACGAGCTCTCGAAGGTCTTCGTGGAGAGGCTGAGATCGAGATGGAAGAAGTTGACGACTCCAGGTACAACGTGGACAACGGCGTGGACATCCTCTTGGGTGACCTGGAGGCCAGCTTCGGTGCCAAGGAGCTGTTTCGCCAGGGCGGAGTCATCCGAGAGTTCGAAAGCTTGTCAAGGCTTCAGGGCGAGAGTGTGGCCTCCTTCATACGTCGTTTCCGCCTTTTGGAACGGCGTCTTCAAGAGGCTCATGTTCCTGCATACCCTGAAGCTGCTCGAGTCGTGAAATTGCTGGACGCTCTACGTCTGGACGAGCGGGCCACCTCACAGGTTCTACTTGCTGCAGGGAATCGTTATGAACTTCGCCCGGTGCTGGACGCCTTGAAGATTCAGTACCCTGCTGGAATGTCATTGACTGGCATCCCTCGTAGCCGCAGCGACCTACGTGGACTACGCGGGCGAGGCGGCCGTTCGACGTCTTCGTCTTCTACATCTTCGAACAGAACATCAAGGGCGCGAGGTACGACATCGAGACCCTGGCGACAATGGAACACGTCCTGGGAAGAAGGCGATGGCGAAGAGGATGAAGCTCCTTGGGAAGAGACTTGGGATGAAGCTGATTTCGGCGATGAGGGCCAGGACGGCAACCTCGCCGCGATCGATGAGGATGCTGAGTATGCCGAGGGCGACCCCGACGATGTCTTGCCGGAGCAGTATGAGTGGAACGAGAACCTCGGCGACTACCACATCGAGCATCATGTCGATGTTAATCGCGGTGGTGAGGACGAAGGCATCAGCGAGCTTGCTGCTGTGGCCCAAGCTCTGACGGTGACAAGCCAGAAGCTTGCAGGTCTGGTGCAGGCTCGTGGTTTCTACAACCCCGACTCCAAGGGCGGCAAGAGCAAAGGCAAGAACAGAAGCAAGGGCAAAGGCAAGAGCAAGGGCAAGGGCAAGTCTTCCGCCTTCCGTACCCCTGGCAAGTCTGCTGGCAAAGGATCGAAGTCTTCTCCAAAAGGAAAAGGCAAGGGCGATGCTGCTGTTCAGCAGCAGCGTTTGAAAGGCAGTCTGTGTTTGGGCTGTGGATCAGCAGATCACTGGCTTCGTGACTGTCCCACGTACAGTGTGCAGAATGCCCAGTTGGCCAGTGCCACGGTGGATGGACTTGTTCTCGACGCCGAAGGCGCGGTGTCCACCACATGGATGGTCGGTGTCACCGAGAGCGAGATGAACCCCGTTTGTGCTGAGAAAAATGTCTTTGAGCTCCCGTCCCTCGAAGAGTTTGAGGTCAAGCTCCACAAAGCTCCCAGCATCCTCTTGCAGTACTGTCAGGGTCAGAATTCCGCATACATGATAGCAGATACAGGATGTCAGCGACAGGTTGCAGGTGAAGCTTGGCATCACCAGAAGCAGTGCGAGATATCTCCGCTTCAACATCTTGAATATCCTGATAGCTGCAAATTCAGTTTCGGGCCTGGTGAAGCTTTACCGAGTCAGGGACGATTCCTTTACCCTGCGGCATTGGGCGGGCATCACTTGGTCTTGTGTGTCAGTTCAGTCAAGGCCCAAGCTCCCGCTCTCATGTCCCGTAAAGCCTTCGAAGCACTAGGAGCTGTCCCTGACGTGTACGCTGGCACCATTCACTTTCGAGCTTTGGCATGTACTACAAAGCTTTGGCTGTCTCCGTGTGGCCATCTTGCTGTGAGATTGGACGAATGGGGCCCCCAAACCTTTGACTGGCCCCCTCTTGAGGTGCCCGAGCACTTGCCCGACATCATCCATCCGTCGAGCTTTGAGAGTTCAAGCTCTTTGAAGGTCATCGACTGCCCGGCAAAGCCCATTCCTCATGCCACCGCCCCCGAAATGGTTGGTGCGTTGGCGACACGTGCTGAAGGGCCTCCTGACCTTCATCAACCATGTGAAGAATATGGTGTTGCTCTACTCGGCGACGACTCTGCGTCCGGCATTGAAGGACTCGGTGTTGCGCATCTTCGGCATCCCAAGCAGTGCAACCACCTTGCTGACGACCACGGCGGCACTAGCAGCCCAGGCATCACTGCAGGGAACCAAGTATCTTCGAAGCCCCGAGACGTGCAAGCATCAGTCCGGACTTCGAGCTTACGGAGCAGCAGGAGTTCGGGTGAGAATATGCGACTTGTGCGGGACGCGGTATGTGCTCAACCGGGCGGGCACAGCCATCTTGGCAACTCCAAAGGCATCTCCGTCGGCCAAGACACCGCTCAACCTGCCAGAGCACGTGCTGAACGACCTTCGAGGTCACAAGCAAGGACAACAAAGTTCAGCGGCAAGCACTCAATCCCAAGGCTCCTTGCCGCGCTTCTCAACCTCCTCGCGGGGATTTGCGCCACGACCTCGACCTCAGGTACCACGGCGATCGAACTCCCCGGAGCTTTCCCAGGCTATGCCTCCCCGGGCGAAAGCTCAGCCGAAGACTCGCCCACAGCCTCCAGAGATCTCCCTCACACAGCAACGGAGGCAATGGCGTGGATCGGACAGCGACCGGATGAGCACGGGCACGGGCGTCTACAACTCAGACCTGGACTGGGCCGAAGCATACGTGCCGGATCCGGAGGACGAGGAGAATCATTGGGAGGAACAGTGGGGCGAGGAGGACTGGGACTTCAACCTCGACCAGATGGAGGGCTCGGAGGACTCCCAGCTCGACCCGAACCACTTGCGCCCCGATCTGCCGGAGGAAGAAGAGGAGCTCTGAGCGCCTTGCGAGCTCCTGTCGTACTGTCCGGCTCTGCGGACCAGCCTCTGCATCTTGAAGACAGAGGCGCCTTCAAGCCCAAAGCTGGACTTCTGAAACGTGTTCATGGCAATGAGAGCGCAGTGCTCCGCATGTGGAACACGGAGGCGCGGATTTATTTGAGTCGAACGGAACAAGCTCGAAAAGCCCGGGTCTACAAGGTCGACGTCATTGAGGTGTATGGCGGTCAAGCAGAGATCACCCGTGAAGCCCTACGAGTTGGTCTCCGAGCCCTACAGCCTGTCGACGACGTCTACGGCATCCACCTACGCACCAAGGCCTCCTACGAACAACTGCGACTGCTCATCAAGAAGCACAAGCCATTCCTCGTGATCTATGAGATTGAGTGCAAGTTGTGGTCCAACATCCAGTACCTGAACTACGACGTTGAGACGTTGAAGCAACTTCGTCGCGCTCAGGATCTCGCGATCTCCGAGATGGTCAAGACGATCATGGAAGCGCACCAGGAGTACGGCGGCCACTTCCTCATTGAGAACCCGGCCCACACGGACTTCTGGAAACATCCACGGCTACAACCACTTCTGCGTGTGGGCGAGCTGCGAGTCGGCCATATGTGCAGGTTCGGCCTCAAGGACAAGAGCGATACGCTGCTCAAGAAGCCGACTGGTTGGCTCTCGGATCTACCACGACTGCTCGACCAGCTGGCTTTGCAGTGTCCTGGTCTTGATCAGCACGAACATGGACAAATACTTGGCGGTGACTCCGCTGCTTCACAAGTCTACACACCGCAGCTTGCGAAGGCCGTCATCCGGGGTCTGTGTGACTCCTTGCAAGAAGCCGGAGATGAACGTTTTGCTGTGCCAGAACCCGAAAGTACAGCGTGGATCTCACATGAATGCTCGGCTTCTTCTCTTGAGTGGTT